AGAAACTCCGAAGCTTGCGGTTGTGAATAAGTAGCAGTAGTTTATGGTTCTAATTGTAATACATCTTGTATCAACCTGAGTTTTTTTTGAATATTGGAGAATGAATATAATTCTTTGGTTGGAGGTTCCTTGTAAATTGTCTCCCTTGTAAGCATATTTTTAGGTGTTATGGTTAATTCCTCATCACTGTCATGGTGGTTCCTGTTAATCTTCTCATAGTCAAACCGAAAACATGATGCCGTTATCACGGTCCTTGAAGGTGAATGGAAGGAGGCAGCATAAATTGCATCTGCTGTGTTTGGAAATTTATGAAAGTTGATGATGATAATGACGCCTTTTTATCTTGAACTGAAATGTAATTTAGATTCAGATTAAAACTTGGTAGAGTTGTGGCCATGATATTTGACTTGTATTTTGTATAGCAGCAAATTGGGTTGCGGCTCGAAAACCGTGTGTTCCTTTGGATAAATGACCGGAAATGTCTGAGTTGTAATTGGAGAATAATACCGATTGGAAGTACATTATTCCTCAGCAGCTTGTATAAACTTAAGTAAATAAATTTGATTTTCTGAAACGGTGCAATCCGGACAGCTTGGAAACACACTTTGAAAATTCCACTTCTATGATAAAGGAAACTTATCTAGTTGAAATCCAATGGTTATATCTTTCAAAATATGCGGCACCATTAGTAGTATGAATTTATTCGTGAGCTCGAGTATGGTGAATTTCCAGCTCGTGAACCTTGTCTCGAACTTTGATAAAAAGCTTGGCTCAAGATTTGATAAACCATATGTAGATCTTCGTGAACCTATCACCGGCTATTTAAACAATGAAATCACCGTAAGCATAACCTGAATAAGGGTCAAATGGCCATGTCGGGAAGAACTGAATTGTGAATGTCATCTTCCCTTTAATACACCTGCATGAGTTGGTTAGCCATAGTAAACAAACATACAAAAGTAAAATAAGACAAGCAGAAAAAAAACACAAGGAGGTGGGATCTTAAGGTCAAAAATTAGGGTGTGACAATACCAAATGTAGTTTGTTACATGTAAGGATAACAATATTACATAAACAACATAGGATAATTACTACCTCAAGCTTGACAAGAAATGAAATTAGCTGCTCATCATCTTCATAGAATACTCAGCAAATTCTTCAATAATCTCCTCTTGCATGAAAACATCTCTCCAAGACAAGAAAATCTCCTCTAAAATCTCCCTAAGTTATTCTACAAACCTAAGAGATGCTAAGACTAAAAGGTGGAATGATTATGTCCAACATGCAAGGGAAAAGTGCAATAAATAGGCTATGGGGCGCCACCCTACAAAAATGTGGTTTTTCTTCCAAGATAGGACAAGTGTCATTATTTTGCATGTGGCTGAAATGCACTCAGTTCGCGGCGCGAAGGGTGGTCGCGGCGCGAACTGTCAAAAACAAAATTGCTTGCTTTGTTGCTTCGCATTGCTTTTGCCGACTTTGTTCTTCAAGTATTACTCCAGAGATCTTTTTATGCAATCATTCTTTTCTTGACAAAAATTCTACAAGACTTAAAGAAAAAGTGAAATATCTATTCGAACAAAACAAAATTACTAAAATTGAATGTTTTACTAAATTGTGATAAAAACTTGTGTGAATTTAATAAGAAATTGGTAAAAAGGGACCGGTAAAATATATATATATTAATACCAATTGGTCCCTAACACTCGTCGATGAATGAAATCTTCGGTGGAAGCGGCGTCGGAGGTGGTTTGCTAATGCGGACTCCTTTCACAACACTTTTTAGAGATTTTGGAGTCGGTAAGTCGGGAAAAACTTTGTCAACATATTTAAAATATGAAAGATACCGTATAGTCGAGTTGTCATTCGGTGTAGGCTTCATTTTCTTCGGAACACCTTTTGTTTTTTACCGCTTGAGAATGCAATTTCATGTCGGTGGTTTCGAAAGAGGCAATCTTCCTCAATTGTTCTTTGATGTGGAGCTTCATGATGTCATCGGCCTTCGAAAATCTCCCTTGTATCGCTTCTCATTCGGTCAAAGTAGAGATATTTGATTTTCCGTCAGTCATGCATCCATCATCGTCGAACCTAAGTCTCTTCCAATGAGATCAAACATCGTCCACTCTTATTGGTTCACCATGTTGCACCTTTTTAGCAAGATTACAAGCACACGAGAGACCATGTATTTTCACAATAGTGAAACCACACTTTGCGCTATCAAAAACACATTAACAACTTGTTTAGCTTTGTGAAAAATATAGTTCAAACCCGTCCGATAAATGTTACCAACGAAATGAGAGTATAAAGTTGACTTTAAATCGGTATTCCAGAACTGTAATGCTCTAACCAAATGTTGTTTGTATCTCATTATGCTAGTTCTGAATTATGTGGTTAACAGAGTCTCAGTCTCGACACAAATCTCATTTGCTATTTCCCAATCAATTTTTCAAAGTAGCATGGTTCAACTCAACTATGTTAGTAGTTAAATTTATAAGGTGTCTAACATTGTTAGTCCACCCGCAAAATATTTTCTCCTTCACCTGATCAAGAATTGTGCTTTCAACATATTCCAACGAGGCAGGGTACTTTTCACACACTTTTCAAAAATGACTAACAAAATCAACATATAATTTTTGTGTGGAAGACTTTATTATAAGATTTCATGCATCCATTATTTTTTCCACAATCACACTCGTTTTCACCAATTTTTCACCTTCGGACTCTATTGGTTTCGTCCCTACTGCAGTTTTTACCTGATTTCTCACATTCTTTGTTATGTGATACTTACGAAATGCATAAGAAGAAAGAAATACCTTTGCAACCGCATTCATCAATGTTGTATCGCGGTCGCTAACAATAGCTTTAGGCATCTCACCTTGATCCTTCAAAAGTGAGTGACACACCTCTAATATCCAACTAAATATTTTCATCTTTTTCACACTCTAAAAATGCAAATCCAACAGAATATCTTTTCTCAGTTGAGGTAATATCAATAATCTCAAATAATGGAAGTTTATACCTGTTAGCGTTGTAGGTTGAATAAAGTATGAGCACCGTTGAAAACGTGTTGAACAACTTTATTGAATCAAGATGAGTCTAAAAAATATCTCTAATCGTAACTCCATCATCGCACGTTCTGCATCAGGACACGTAATTGTTTCAAAAGTTGTCGCATCGTTGTATCCCCCCTCATAGCCTTATTAGTGAGGTACTGAATATTACACTCTTGCTTGATATTTGTTATATTGTCGGATTGCTTTCGTTTCAATGTTGCAAGTATATTTTTTGGTTGAACAAGATTCAATGTCGTGTCACTAATACATTCCTTCTCTTCTGGTTTGACCTGACATACACTAGGATGACCAACTAATTTTAAACACAAATCATGGTTCTGAAAATCACATATCACATTAAATCTCTAATTTTTGTTTGTCAACATGTAACCACGAACGTTAACCGGGCACTCACATTTTTTACTACTCATGTCGTCTCTTTTAAGATTTTCGAGAGGAGTTTGATAACATTCGCTTCTTTCGCACATTGTCACAAAGACACATCTTCATTCTAAGTCATTATCGGAACTTCTGATTACCATACCAAATCCAAGTCTAGATGTCTCTCCATGCGAATCCATTCAAGCATTTTTTTCCCACATTTTTCAAACTCTTACTTGTTATTAAAGTCATTGCCAATATCTGCCACCTTCACAACAACCCCTTAAACATTCGGAGAAACTACTTGTTTTGAAAAAATGTCGAGTGCATCATATCCATTGAAAATAATTAAAATAATATCAGAACATTAATTAATCAATTCATGCATAAGGTTGAAAATTAAACACATACTCATTCCAAAAATACATCTACAGACAAGTTCATACACGTCTTAGAGATTTATTTTCAGATATAACATAAGGTCGAACCAATGATTAATGTGAACAATGTAACCTGAAATTCTATTTTCTTTTGCTCTATGTGATATGTTGAACCAATGATTAATGTGAACAATGTAACCTGAAATTCTATTTTCTTTTGCTCTCTGTGATATGTCGAACCAAAATAATAGAGATTTGGAATGAAAAAATGGATTGAGAATGAAGAATTTTTAGGGTGAAGGTTTGTGTTGAAAATGAAGTATGGTAACAATGGAAGATTAATCATGCATCTGCAAACTATATCAGATATTTTTGAAGAATCATCTTCGAAAATATTCAAGGTGACAGAAACATTCAAATTGCCGCATATAATTTCAAAAACACACCTCCAAAATATCCATTGAACTGAACAATTTAAATATTATTTTAAAACTGTTCTAGAGATATATCTCCAAAAGCATTAGTTGCATATGTATAGAGTGTGTCCGATAATATATCTTCAAAACTGAAAAGCACAAGTGAAAATTCACACAGCATACTAAAAGCATATAGGGTACAATAAAAAATCTTTAGGGTACAATAAAAAATCTTTAAAAAATTTACGTAATGGTTATTAAGTATTTAAGGTGCATTCAGAAATTTTCTAATACAACGTACTAATAATCAACATCGTGATTCATAAATGTAATAAGAAGATCTAAGCACTATATGCCCAAACTGTATTTTTGAAACTCGGATACCAAAACAGGAAGATTAGTGTTGAACATCCATCATCCATATTCCTTTATAAAAAAGAGACCCCAGTTTCATTGATAAATAATTATTGGTAAGTTGGTAATCAATTTCTACACTATTATTATTATTATTATACAATCCCCTATAAATAATCCTAGTCCAAAGGGATCTAGCCTATCACAATAAGAGAATATAAAGATGATAATAAAGAAAGAGGCAAATGCCCATAAAATAGTTTTTTCCTCGAGGTAACTTGTTCAGTCTCCCTCCTATGTGCCCCAAAATTTCCTAGCAGTACTTACTCTAAAAAAAAATATCTTTCAACCATCTTGAAAATAACATATCTAATACCAAGAACACCACAACCCAGACAGATGAACAAACAGGAAAATCACCAGACATCCCTTAGGTAACGTCCATCCATCTGGAGTTTTTTCACTGTAGCCTCTGCCTTTGAAGAGTCGCCATTTTCCTGAAATTCAATCAAGATGTAGTTTCATCAAATTAGGTATGGATTGCATATCCCGTTGCAAACAAAAATAGAAGTTGGATTAGTCCACAGAGAAATTATAACATCTTAAAATTAAATGCTTTGCAAGACAGTAACAATTTACAGATGGAAATTGACATTGTTAAATCCCTTCAAACGTGTAATACAACAATAATGTAGACACGTATAATGACCAAGTTCAACAAAAGGGCTAAGCCGCCTCTCTAACTCTTCAAGTTTCGAGTCTACGGAAAGAAGAGGGAAGTAATGATACTCATATATGCATGTGAATATGCTAAAGGATACACTAATATCATATTTGAGGCATTGAAAAACAAAAATACACATAAAGTAATGGAGTCATTAAAAAAAACTCCCTAATATTAACTTATGAATGAGAAACACTAAAGGACAAATATTTACGTCCATGATAGTAAGCCCAATGCAAAAAAACCTTAGTTTTACAAATTTAAAATACTAATACTAAATATTATAGTAAACCCAATGTAAAAGAACAGAACCTAAGCATCAAACTATTGAACCAATTCATGATTCACTTAAAAGCCAAAAAGGGCATTGGTGCCCACTAGAAAGCGCGAGGACAAACAATTTCGTACTGAAAATGTAGTCGACTAAAGAGAAACTACTGCATTTGTTTTCCAAAAACTAGTTCCCAAACCATTTCACACTTCCACAGCAAAACAAAACGTAATATTTTAGTCACCACTTGGCAATATCATACATATCACTTAGCCATATTATCAAGCATAACAAAAACTAGTTCCCAAACCATTTCACACTTCCACATCAAAACGCAATATTTTAGTCACCACTTGGCAATATTATACATATCACTTAGCCATATTATCGAGCATAACAACAATCAAGCCTTGTCCGACTAAATGGGGTCGGTTACATGGATTAACTTTCGACATAATATTCTATCCAAATTGTTAAACTCGAAATCTATCTTAATAACTTCTCTTATAGTCTTTCTAGATATTCCTCTTCCTCTAAGTTGTTTGACTTCTCTCCATCCGATCTAATCTCCTTACCACAACATCTACCGGTCTTCTCTCTACATGCCCAAACCACCTAAGTTGATTTTCCACCATCTTCTCTACTATAGGTCCTACCCTAACACTCTAATATTTTAATTTCTAATCCTATCCTTTCTAATCTCACCACACATCCAACACAAAATTCTCATCTCTGCCATCTTTCCAAAAATTCTCTATTTTCTAATACTTTTTGGTTATGTGCTTTGCAAATTAATACTCTTTATATGCATGTTGTTAAGAAATGTGGTTGGGCCTAACTCAACCCTACAAAACTGGCTGGTAGAGTGAGGATTACCCCCACTTATAAACACATGTTCATGCCATATATTGTCTGATGTGAGACTCTTAACACACCCCCTCACGCTCAGGACTGGACAACTGAAGCGTGGAAATAAATGGTGGGTGGCCCGATAGCGAAAACCATAGAAGGTGGCCTAGCTCTGATACCATGTTAAGAAATGTGGTTGAGCCTAACTCAAACCTACAAAACCGGCTGGTAGAGTGAGGATTACCCCCACTTATAAACACATGTTCATGTCATATATTGTCTGATGTGGGACTCTTAACACATGTTAAGGAAAAATAAGAGTCGAGACTAAAAAGTTATTTGCAAATATGGAGGGATGATGAAAGACAATCAGCACCTGCTGCTGGACAATGGTATGAAGACTTCGATGAACATCTCTAGCCATGCCCTTGGCATCACCACAGACATAAAGATAACCACCCTGAGAAATCAGACTCCACAAGTATTCTGCCTGCACATAAGAAATTTGAGGCAGTAAATTATTTATTCAGTGAAATTTGTTCTTCCATTGGCCACTACCCTCACTTACTTTATCCATCATTTTGTGCTGAACATACTCCTTTTCAGGTCCCTCTCTAGAGAATGCAACTATCAACTCTGACAGAGCACCTTGTTCCACAAAATTATTTAGCTCATCCTCATAAATAAAATCCTATACAAATAGCAATAATACAAAATCACACATTGCTCAGCAAATCCATTTTGACCAAAGTGCATTTAATGATTAATTTACCATTTGACGGTTTCTGCATCCAAAGAAGAGTAATGCAGGACCAAGTTGAACACCATCCTCTTTGAGGGCAAGTCTCTCCTGGGTAAATCAAAGATCAAACAAGAGTTAATAACAAGTAGAATTTTGTAATAAATTGGTTTTTACTTGTATTATTTCATTTGGAAGAGGGATTTGATTACCAATTTTATTATTATTTGTTATATGATAATAATTACATCATTATGTTTTAAGATGTTTAATTTATTGCATAAATTCGTAATGTGACATTTATATATATTTTTATTTGTACATTCTAGATCTTACATTTAAACAACAAAATTAAAATTGAATCTAAAATTCTAATGCTAAGGCTTGTTTTTTAATATACGCGGAACAAACAATTCATTATTCCTGAATCAGATTTAGTTTCAATCTAAAAAATAGGAATTGAGATTAAAATACTGAACCGCAATGCTAATTTGTCATCCAAACAAACCCTAAAATCACGGTTAAAAGGGGCCAATTTGGATTAGAACAGTATGTGTCCACTTTTGCTTCATAGGAGAAGCACCAATTTATTGCTTCGTATTACAGCACATTTTCAGCTTCTGCTGCTATGTAATGTGACAACCCTTTTGTCCATATATTTTCAAAAGTTAAGGCAAGTTCTTTTATTATATTTATTTGTATAGCTTTTGTTAACATAACGGAGCAAAGTGTAAACAGACTCTAAAGTAGTTTTCTAATCATGACAGAATCAAAACTAGGTACTCATCATTTTGGTTTGCTGTTTTGATTCTATTTGACTACCAACGTTTCTATCCCATCATTCATTTTCAATTTAACCCTCATTCCCTATGCATTATATTGTCACTAACTAACTATCAAATTTTATCAAAATCTTAAAACGACGTGTATCCCTAAAATATTCACATACCTGTAAAAATCCCCTAAAAGGTGCCAAACCAGTACCAGGTCCAATCATAATAATAGGAATTGAATGATCAGCTGGTAGCTTGAAATTTGATGGTCTGATAAATATGGGAGCCCAGCTACAATCACGACTTTTCTCCAACGGAATAGCATTCTGATCATTCATGAGTGATTAAAGTTAGTTACAAAATAGCGTGTTTGGGTACTGCATCCAACGGGGAGGAAGGGATCCTAAACATGAAAACATAGAGTCTAGAATGCTGAAACAGGAAGTATATGAGTTGCAAATTGTCACCTTCATCCAGGTTGAACATACTCCTTTGTGAATTCTGCCAGTCGGAGTTGGACCTTCTACCAGAGCACAAGTTACATGTACCCTTTGTGGGGCAAGCCTAGGCAATAGAAGAAAAATCAACATTATCCCTCAATCATTTATCTAATAAAGCTTCAGTTCTATAGTTTTGACAGGATTATATAACTAACCTAGGAGAGGATGAAATAGAATAATAACGAGGCTGCAAACGAGGGGCTATGGCAGCAAAAAACACACCGAGGGGAGGTTTTGCTGATGGAAAATCAGCCATCACTTCAATGAGACTTCTCTGGCTTCCAACAACCCATTTGGAGTATTCATCCTGGAAGGCAAAATTGAAAATATCCTTAAAAGCAGGAGGAAAAAAATATTCCAGACTTGAAACAAGGGATATGAACATTACTGTAGCAATTTCATTTACCTTTCCCTGAGGAGATGAGAGAAACTTCAATCTTTCTGCTTCACTAGGCTCAGAAGCATGAGCAGCTAATGCAACTAAAGCAGCCTGAAAAAGAAGAATATCAAAACTATTTATTCATTTTAAAATATAAAACAAGGACAAATTCTATTGGGACATACAATTATAACCAGTAAAACCAATCATGTATTAACAAGAAGAAGAAAATGGAGAACACATGCAATGTAAATCATGTAAAACCTTTCGTGGGGGGTTCAAGAGATCTGCATAACATGCTAATGCAGTGCGCACAGTGCAAGGACCAGGGAAAGGAGGTAGAAGAGAACCACCTAGGGAAGTGCCATCTTCATTGTCGGTGTGAAGAGAAAAAAGCAAATCTAAATTCTGACCCAACAACTTCCCAGCTTCTTCAACAGTTTCATCACAGTTCTCAGCATAAACACCCACGTGGTCTCCAGTTTCATATCTGGGAAATATCAGGACAAAAGCGTCAACAGCTTTCCCGGTCAGTACTTGAGAATTGTGAACTGCGGGGAGGGGGGGAATTGGAAAACTAATGAACATTTTCATTTCTTTTTTACCTGTAAAGCTAACATTAATAATTTTTTTAGCATGTGACAAGTAAAAACCCTCATAGAAAATTTCATTCTACAAGATATCCTACCAGTATTTTCATTCATTTAATAATACTACAATATCCAGAGAAAAAAATTAACAAAATGTATTTGAAGTCAAAGATATTAATAATTAACTGTTGGTATTGTTTTTTTTTTTCTTGTTTACCACAAAAAGATGAGATGGTTCTTTGTCAGCAAACAGAACCTAACTTACGTTACGCCAGTCCCTGATAAATCAAACTCCAAATGTATGCAAGAACGGTCAGACTGAGGTTTGTGAAGCTCCCTTCGAACAGCAACATTCACCCTTCAAGAAAAGAAACAGGTTTGTTTTAGCCTTGTTTAGTGAGAATGGATATAAAATCACTACGCATAACTCCAAGCACCTGCAAGGATGATGAATATCAAATACAGCACCCCCGTTTGCCACATTGAAATGATTCTCATAAGATGGCGAGACAGTGGGGTCATGAATCACTACTCGATATTCAGAAATAGCAGCTGTATAGGGAGTAGACACGGTATTCACATCATCCTCATCTCGAAGCAACTGATCCAACTCAGGCCACAGAGTTTCTTTCCTGCATAGAAAAAGCCAATTCATGACATTTAAAATGAATAAATGCACATTTCATATAATTGTTATCTGCAGCAATTGCATATTACATTTCTAGGAACAATATAATAGATAGATGGATAGCAGGAGCAAGAGAACTAACCAGGCATTAAAATCATCCTCAATGGATTGATCATCATCACCTAGTCCAACTGGAACAAGACGCTTTGCACCTGCAGCAAGCCCAAAGTCAGTTACTACTTTAACAGCATTCTTAAGTCTTTGATATATGTTTTGCTATTTAGATTAGATACATGCTGCTTCTACTAGCTATGCATCCTCACTAGGGTGTTTTGTTATGCTCTCAAGAGTTGAGAGAGAAAAGGAAACAACTTTGGATATAGCATCAAATAATCAGGGTGCAAGCTCTGCCAAGGGTAGAGTTCCACTCTTTCAACTATAAAACAGTTCTCTTACAAGTGTTGATAATGCATCTTTCCTCTGCTAACAACAGTACTAACACAAGTATGTCAACATTTTTGAGAAGACGTTTGTGAACTTAAAACAAAAATCTTAAGCACAAATGGTGGAGATGATAAGTTGTATCATGCTCCAATTTTAATCAATAATAATGGGGAAGATAACCAATTTAATACTTTTGAAAATACAAATCATAAAATATTGTACCTTGTTCAATGAGATCTTCATCAACAACTTTACCTATCTGTTTCAAAAGAACAACATCAGAATCGGATGATGAAACTCTGTTCCTTTTAAAATATGCAAACAGTGTATTTTACCTTATTAAAATGTTCATATTGCCTGTTACCAAGGGCAAAAACTCCATATGTGAGCTGTTGAAGCCAGGTGCCCCTCTCCTCTTTACCCTAAAATAAAGGTCCTCTAAAACTTAGAATCACTTTAAGTGAACCATATGATTGTGAAAATATGAGAGACAGAGACCTTAAACCCCAAAAATTACTTAAAAGTGGCGTAATGTAACTACAAACCTCGGTAAACCACTTATAGAATCTTGCAGCATTGTCAGTTGGTTCTCCATCTCCATAACTACCATGACAAGTCCAAATGCATCATAGTACTTTACATTTTAACTAATTAATAAATGCATTTTAGTCTTTTTTATGTACATAAATCTTACGTTGCTAGCATGAAAAATACTAGAGTTTCTTTCTTCAGCTTCTCTTCATATTGATCATCATCAATGGCATAATCATCCTAGTTCAAATTCAAATTCAAAATAAATACATCAGACACTTCAGTCAAAGCAATATTTCAAAACCGAATATCCTGTAAAGTAATATCAAATGCCTTCTAGAACTCCCTTGGTGAGAAAAAAAATATTCAAAAAGACATGGCACACAAATTTACAGCCACGGGGAAGGATTTGTCAAAATTTCATTATTTTAATCCAACTTACCATATCGACAACTTTGACAACTGCTTTTTCATATCTTGCCTTGATCTCCTCTGCCAATGCCTATAGATAAAATTAAAAAGTAATTATACATCCCATAGATTTAAAGATGAATTGCTGATGTCCGGCAGGAAGAGGGTGGTTGGTACCCTGGGTTGAATATTTCAACCACACTGTAAAAAGGGAAATAATTTCCTCTTTGCACAGTACATTACAAAATTTGAAATTATTTCTAGCTGAAATAGATTATTCACAGCTAGCCAAGTACGAAGTTGTGTTCAATGGCAAGGCAATAGGCACAAAACATGTGTTCTTTGTTTAATTCAAAAAGCATTAAAATCAGAAAAAATAATATATCACTAGTATTTGGTTATGTTTAACTAGTTTCTCATATTGATTAATTACTTAAACATTGCATTCACTGTAAAAATAGAAAACCAGAAGTTTCAATATATCAAACCCTAAACTACTGACTGCTAGTGCTAAGTAATTGAATGACAAACACTTAGAATTTCAAAAAATGGTTTGGAACTTGGATATTACTATTTTGATTTTGAGCACAAAAAAAAAAGTAAAGATGTTTGTGATTGTATTTGTATGGTCTACCATTTTCACTCAATTTTGTCCAAATTTACAAAATCAATTTCAAGTTCATAAATCGTATTCTCTGAACCTGAGTTGGTGGCAATTAGAAAACAATTGTATGTTTGATTTCAATTTTGAAAGAGGAAAAAGTGATTCTATAGGTGTAAAATTGATTTTGACATGATTGATTTCCTTTAAAGTAGACCTAATTTGGTTTCCTGAATTGATTCTACTTCTACTTGAAGTTAGGATTCGTAGCTTTAGAATCTAAACATGACTTTTGCACTGCAATGTAAATCACTTTTAACCATAAACAATTTTGCCACAACGGAGCTTAGTGCAAGTTTAGAATCACAATGAGTTTGACAAAATCAATGTGCCACAGTAACTTTAACTTTGTTGAAGTTCCAAAGTGAAATTTCAAGCAAAATCACACAGACCTCACCATAATTCCACCAAATTCCATATGATTCCAAACATGCACTTATCTAATCCAAAAGCAGTGAAAGGCATGCCAAGTGTGTGTGGATAAGGCGATTAACAGGAGAGTATAAACAGGAATAATAAAGCAAAAAAGAAAAAACAATTGATCATTATAACTATATATAAACGACACCATGAAGAATAACATCCTTTATTCTAGAATAATAGATTAAACTTAAGCAACGAAAAAGATCCAGCACATTCAATTCCACCTTACCTACAAGCAAAACTTCAGCCGAAAGAAAACCTACAAGTAAACGAAAAAGATAGATATACCTTAGCGAATCCCTCAGCAGTACCAGTTTGAGTACCATAGAACACAGTAACTTTAGTCTTTCCAGGACCAACATCGACCTCATCGTCTTCCTCTTTCACCGAAAACTTCGGAACTATAACTGGCTTCAACTCTCTGCTCCGATCGGACGATTTCCTCCATAAAAACACCAGAAGTCCAATTATTACGGCGGCGGAGGTAGTGGCGATGAGAACAACCGAATCAGAAACGGAATCGCCGAGAGAAATTCCGAGTACGGATTCAATAGTACGAACCAAATCGGAATTGGAAGAAGTCATGGAGTCAATAGAGTCAAATCAGTTGAAAATTCTGGAGAACGAGTTTTTATCGATGGATTTCGTTGATTTCTTCGTCTCTCTCTAAACCTAGAAGAAGAATTAGAGAGAGACTGAAGAAAAATTGGGCGAGATTTGTGATTGGTGATGATAAATAAAAGTCGTTTTCAGGTTAAATCAGCACGATGCGAGTTTTAGCGCTATTCGCACCAGACGAGCTCTCGCGGCGTTGACAACTACCACACGAAAAGCTAGCTTTTTTATTTTTATTTTTTCTTTCTTTAAAGGGGAGTTTTCTCAAACTTTCAATGCTCCGGTCACAAAAAAACGGTTCGGTGTTTTTTTTCCTTTTTTTATTCAAATTCAATGCTTCCATACCATTGAATGAAAAAGTGGTTTTAATTTTCTGTTTTACATTTAAAATAATTTTCATTTTTAGAAAATTTTAAAATAATCAAATATTTATTTTAAATATTTTAACATGAGAAGAAATACATTTTCTTAGCAGAAATAATATTTTTATGATAATATACTATTTAAAATAATTTATTTTATTAAATCTTTCAAAAAGTTTACCATTCAAAAAATTATAACAAAAAAGTAAAATATTTTTATAAAAAATCTTATTAATAGATTTTTTTAAATATTTTTATAATTATTTTTATTAAAAAATATTTTTTTTTAGTTTGATAAACAAACACCAATTTAAAATTACCAAATAAATTTTAGGTTTTTAAGTTGTTTGAAAAAAGAGTGTACGCGGAAGGTTTTGGTGTGGATCAACAATATATATATATATATATATATATATATATATATATATATATATATATATATATATATATATATATATATATATATATATATATATATATATATATATATATATATATATATATATATATATATATATATATATATATATATATATGTTGGACGATGACGACTTGTTTAGAGGGAGGTTGAATAGACCACCAATTCAAAATTACCAAATAAAATATGGATTTTAAAGTTGTTTGAAAAAAGAGTGCACGCATGAGGTTTTGGTGTGGATCAACAAAAGTCGTCTACGCGAACCTATTTATTGAAACTCAGATATGCAAAGCCAATTATGGAATGACAAACATAATAATTGAAATCAACCTTTAATCGAGTATCACGTTATTACTCGTTTAAACTAATTACTTAGCAGTGTTATTTCCAATGATAGTGAGCAAAAATATTGAATTATGCAATTTATCAAACACTTGGTGTACAGACGAATTTTCAGAATTTTCTTTGTGTCATTGTTGATATGAAAACCACTTATAATCGAAAGTGATTATAAGCTAATCAACAACCAAGCTAAAACAGAAAGATTATAGGAAAATTCTTACGAGTCGATCGATCGTTCAATGCTATTTGATAAATTGCGTAATGAAAAATAAAGCGAGTAAAGAGATAATAGAGAGATTGATACGAAAATTTGTTCACGCAGTTCCCCACTTTCGTCCTCGCATGTGGGTACGTATGCGCCTAATTTTCAATGTGGAATTAGGATACATTCTTACTGTGCAAAAAGTCGATATGCAAGAAAAGTGTTTAGAGCAACCATATAAACACAACCAGTTCTGATGTTGATTCAACCCTTTTTTTTCTTTTGATCTTGAGTAAGACCAAGATAACAATGTATGTCAATTGACTTGTCAATATTGCTACACCTTTGTGTTTATCTCCAAAGCTTTCGCGCACACTAAATAGCAATGGTTGTTCCACGAGACTTCAATTCGATTCGTCGTTCTCAGCTACTTTCTTTGCGTTCTTTATCTCCAAAGGGTCCTTTGTGTTCTTTATCTCCAAAGGCTTTCACATCGTCGCAATCCTCTCTTGAACATCTTGCACGAAAACCCTCAAATCTTCACTCGATCTTAGAGGACAAACCCGCGATTTTTTAGGATGAATACCCCAGCAAACCTCAACCCAATATCTCGGCTACACAAGAACCTAATTGGACCTTATCAGACATTTGTCGCACCTCAAAAATCACATAGAGATAATTCGAAAACACGGCCCTTGCGCTAAAGGGGCGGGATGCGGTTTGATAGAGTCGCCACCAAACTTTATTTATCCCAAAGAAATGGGAAATGAAAATATCGAGAAGACCTTTTAAAAGACGGATAAGAACGACGTCGTTGCAACCACGTTTTGGGTTCGGGAGTCGGTTACGCAAGGGGAAGGTATTAGCACCTCTGACACCCATTGTACTTAACGGGAACCTCTTAGTACGATTCGCGATGGGCGTTATCTAAGCTTGCTTATTTTCTTCTCAATGGAAAATGTTAAACGGTACGATAAAAGGAATTCGATGCTAAGGGGGAAATGGGTGGTTTAAGAATAGGGTGTTCGGCAAGGATTGGGGCCCTCATGCCTACGTGTGCTTATTCGGACGGGAATGAGAAATCAGAGCTCTCGTAGTTCGACTACGAGAAAGGATAGAGGAACGGAAGATGAATAGAATTGTAGCTCGCCAAGATCATCACAATCTTGTGCCTATGTATCTTTCATTGAGACGAGAATGAAGAATCAAAGTGTCTGTAGTTCGTGGAGACGACCACGAAAAGATATAGGTTAAATTGGTTTGAAGTTTGGTCGAGAAAAGAAAGATTAACTGACAAACAACCCAAGGGGCGTGCCTCGAGAGCTATCACTTAAGAATCCAAGGAATGCGAGATTCCAAGAATTCAGTTTTTTTGGGAGTTGATTGAAAAGGGGTAAGAAAAGGTTGAACATTTTGAAATCGAAAAATTGAATGAACAACAACTCAAAGGGCGTGCCTCGAGAGCTACTCATTCGAAGATTTAAGGGGTGCTAGACTCCAAGAATTTCCTTCTTTCGTAAGTTGATTACGAAAATGTTTGAATAGAGATTAGGTGTTTAAAGACGAAAGGGTGAATGAACGACAACCCAAAGCGTGCGCCTCAAGAGTCATTCATTCAAAGATCCAAGGAATGCTAGACTCTATAAATCTTCTTCTTTCATTATTTGACTAAGAAAGCATTTGAAAACGGCTGAATCGAGCAAGTTGTAAAAAAAGGTGGACTGTAAGGCAAAAGGCATTCGACTTATAAGTTTGAAAATGCCACTTGATGCTGGATCAATGGTTTGATTTTATTTGCATGCAAAGACAGGTTAGAAAAGAGGTTGATTTGAAAATGGCTCGATGACGAGTCGAGGGTTTGGGTTGAAAATGGAATTGGCTCGACGACGAATCGAGGGTTAGGTTGTGAGAAACGATACTAGTCCCTAAGAGTGCTCCTAATAACGAAACCATGATGCAATGTGAAAGTGTGTGCGATAGGTTGATGGCGAATGCGTACGAGCAATCGACTTACGAAGATTTTTTGAAAATGACTCGACGACAAATCGAGAATTAGTTTGAAGACGGTTTTATCTATGCTAGTCCATGAGGGTGCTCCTAGAAGATAAACCATAATCGAAAAAAACGAATGCGTACATCGAAATAGGGGAGGGATACATGTAAGTTACACGGGATTGCACGAAATAAAAGGGTTCATTGTAAGGTAGCCCAAGAGGAAGTCGTGTGTGTGCGAGGTGTCCTAAACTATGCCTTGAGCAAGAGTCTGAAAAAAGCTTCAAGTTAGGGTTTTTGACAAAGTCCAATAATCTGTTGCTCGGAAAATTAACCAACAGTCCACCAATTTAGGCGTTTAGGGTTTCGATAATTGTTAATGTGTTTTGAATTGTGTGAACAAGATATGAACAATATGAATATGAATATGAACAATATGAATAATATAGCAAGATATATAACAATATAATCAAGATAATATTCACAATAGTATAATCAAGATAATATTAATAAGTATATGAACAAGATAATATAATCAAGATATAATGACTGAAAGTAAATCGATAATATATTGACAGAAATTAAAGTTAGTTGTTAGTTGATATAAATTGAATCGGGATGAAATGTAGCGCTAAACCGTCGTAGCTCGATCTATGACAAAGATTAAACTATAGGAGGTCGCGCAAGTTGATATTCGTGCTAAAAACACGATGGAAAAATGATATTGAGGATCATTTTCCAATGTAATCGTGTCACACGGACTGGTAAGAGGATGGTCTCGTCCTAACCATAAACTTTCATTAATTAATCGAAGGTAACCTATCACGATCCCAAAGTATTGAAAATGATCTCAATGATCATTTTGTACATATTTGAAATCATGAAGGTTAAACAACCTCAATCAACCAACATTCGCAATTCTAAAGACTTCATCAACCAAAAATAAAGTCAAAAATAGAATAAGATCCAAAATAGAGAGAGAATGAAAATGGAAATGAAACTGATCTCATCTTAATCAAGACTTTGAATCGATAAATCGTAATAATGATATTTGACTTTCATTGACCAAAGATGAAAAGAAAGTGAAATTCAAAACAAAATTAAATGAAGAAAAACATATGATATACGAAATAAAATCAAGAGTGGTTTAATAATCACAAATATCAAATTACTTAGCAAAGGGGTTTGACAAAATATTTAACAAAATAAATATAAAAAAACTTCATAAAAAAACCCTAAAAAATCTAACAAAAATTAAAAACAAAGGAAGAAGGGGTGCTGAAGTCAGAATTGGGTGTGGAGATGGTTTTACCCATCAAGGGATTTGATCCCAGCCCCACAAAACCAAGATAACATGGGTAACAAAAATAAAAAGGGGTGATGGTGTGTGAAAACTAGTTATTAGGCTTAAAAGCCCATCACCTAAAATGAAGATACGCGAAGAATAAAGATCTCAGCTAGTGTTCATGAAAAACGTCAAAAGCGAAATCTAAGAAACACGACCATGTTGTTTCTAAAACTCAGAAAATCGTTACTTTAAACAAAAGTGAATAGTGAATGAGAAAAAAAACTATGACAACCACCAAGATATTTCAAACAGCAGATGAAGGCAACATCAAAAATCATATTCTCCCAACCTTGCTTACAAAACCGA